CCCCACACAAACACAGCTCAACACAAATCTTCCAATACAACATACACACTGTCCCACCATGACTCATACTTACCATAAAACCACAAACTTCAGAAGTAAAGCCACGGGTCATCACTAATTTAGTATAACTGCCGTGCATATGTGGTCAGGATCTTACCTTGCTGATTTTTGATACCCTATAGTTTTGTCTTTATGGTAAGTATGAGTGATGCTGAAACAACATATGCTATATTCATATAAGGCATATTGTTTTAATTATGCAGAAAAATTGTGCAAAGTCCTCAACAACATTTCTTTCACTACCATAGGGACTTTGGTTTTGCCATAGCAATACAGAGCATTGGTCTAACAAATTTGGTATCCTGACTAAAAATAGTGATACTTAAAATGAAAAAAAAAAGCCCCAATAATAGAAAAGTCCAATTATTCAATACTTCATATAAGAAGGGGAAGAATTTCATGAACACTTTATGTCCCCACTTTCTTGTCCTTTCTGTCCAGGCAAAGAGAATGCAAAATGGGTGAGAAATGTTATCATTCTCATAGGGTAGTATGTTTTATTCATGTTATACAGTGTAAATGACTAAACAGTGTGGTAGGCAGTAGAGAATCAAGCCTTAGAAACATGTGTTATTGGATGAATCGTGGAACCTTTTCAGTTTATACTGACATAGTGATGTACAATACAAGTACAGGCTGATTTAAAATATTTATATTTAGTATTACACAGTAATTGTCCAAAATCTGTAGTATTGTGGTAAGCTAAAATGCTTTAGGCCACTAATACTGTAGACTTAGTTTTTCCTCTTTTCTCTCCATGAAAACAAAACAGTAGCAGCAAATAAAAACAAATTAAAATTGGTTAAGGTCTGGTGAGTTACTGATTTATTAATACAAACTTTGAAACATTTGAAAAGTGAAAGTGCCAAAGGCACAGCTGAATGTATGGATTTATAAGACCAGTAAGTATTTTTATTATTAGTTTTAAATGTAACTGCCAATAAAAATGCATCATAACAATTAATTAGAGTTACAGTGACTTAATGATGACAATTCAGCAGCATGGAAATAATCGTGTTGAGGAAACAAATTCAGCCAGCCATGCTATCAAAGCAACAGAAAGCCTCTTTTACCTCCCAGGAACATGCCCTTAACCTTTCTCAAAAATCTATCAAATAAAATCTTTCGCAGTCTGTTGTCAGTTTGTTTCCCCCCAGCTCCAATAGAAAGGAAGGAATGTCCAGCATTTATGAGACTGGCCCATGACTTCAGAGACCCAGGTTTGATTCCTTGCTCTGCCACAGCTTTCTTGTGTGACCTCAGACAAGAGTCTAGGCTAGAGCCACAAAGCTTTGAGATGTAATTCGCAGCTCAGATAGCTGTACAAGTGCTAACTGTGGTCGAGCTAACACCTCACAATAGCGGTGTGGCCACAGGGCCACCCAGAGGGGGGCAAGTGGGGCAATTTTCCCCAGGCCCTACAGGGGCCCCCACGAGAATATAGTATTCTGTGGTATTGTAACTTTTTTTTAATGGAAGGGGGCCCCGAAATTGCTTTGCCCCAGGCCCCCTGAATCCTCTGGGCGGCCCTGGGTGGCCATGGCAGCTTGGGCTAGTTCCCTGGATACATATTTGGGCAGTAAGTCTGAGCAGCTGCCACACTACTTTTAGTCACTAGCTTGAGTACAGATACATGAGTGCAGTGCATGGGGAGCACTAGGTACCTAAGAATGGGGTTCACAGAAGCAGACATGCTGAGCAGAGAGCCACCAAGACTAGTCAGTAGGAAATGATAAGAAAAGGGCTCAGCCTGACACCTCAGGGACTTGGGTTTCTGACTCCGGGGCAGAAAGATTCTCCCTTGTGAGGCTGTGAACCCTCTCCTGAAGACAGGGCTGACATACCTTTCTTGCAAAAACAAAGAAACAAGCACGGTGGTGCTCAATTTTAATAAGGATGGAAGAATTTGGCCCTATTCTATTAAAAATGAAAATAATACAGAAGCTAAATATCAGTCCCTTATAAATACTTTAAAAAGATAGCACCTCATCTTGCACTTCTTAACCAAGCAAAACTCTCCTTTAGATCAGAAATTGAGGATTAAGCGCATATAATGGATATTTTTCAGTGTGACACAGTGGAGGGTGGTAAATAAGTTTCATGACATACCATAAACAACAGGAATGTCTAATAAAGTGGGTGTAGTGGGTAGAGAAGATTAAGATTGTGAGTTTAGTTAGGAACACTTGTGGAAAGTGCACTACCACATTTTTTCACACTTCAGTTCCTTTAAATTGAAATTGCCCTGTATAGTAATACAAAATATGCACCTGGGGCTTAAACTACAGTTGCTGAACTTTCATTATTGTTGGACATTAAATTTGGATTTCCTTGTTTCTGTGTGATCTAAATTTCATTGTTAACATTGTATCATTTAGTATGTGTGTGTAGGGTTAAAATTATTATTTATGTACTGCAAAATTGTGTGTAGGGCTAGCGTGAGGTCAACAATGTACCTCCACCCATGGATCACCTGATCAGGCTACATAGAGGTAAAAACTACAGAGCCTTGTCTCCACTAGGGCTCTACAGTGGAATAGCTAATGTATATTAATTATCTTGCTGGGGTTTTTTAAACCAAGAAATTTATATTTGCAGTGAAGATGCAGCTAAAATGTAAGTGGACTAGCAAGCAGCTCCATGTTTGAGAGGTCAGTCATAGATCTAATTTCTCAAGAACAATAGAAACAACATATGACCCTGAAAAAAATTAACCCAATGATCAGATTCTACAAAGAAATGTGTATATATCCATGTGAAAGGTTGTATTGCAGTTAATGGACTACTGTATAAGTAAAATTATGCATGTGCATAATTTTTGTATGTTTGGACCCTTTGTCTTTCGATCACATTTAAATAATTTCAGAACAGCATCATCAACAATTATTCATTAATATAATTATAACATAAGAGTGTGTTTCAAAAAGCTGGCTTTAAAGAACTGGATTCAAAAATAATAATTTTAGTGCTAATAATAGTGTTAACAAATATTTCCTTCTAATTTCATTCTAGTCTTCTAGGGGATAATATAATGTTCCATTCCTGTGTCTTCTGGGAATTTTTCCTTAAAGTATTCTCTTAATGAAAAAAAAATCACTGATTTCCCTGGAGATCATTTCATAGAAATACAATGAATTAATATTATGCATACTATTATTATTTATTTAGGGCTAGATTATGACTAGACCTAACACAACCTTTCATGGGACTAAGGGGCCATAAACCACCATTCCCTAAACTCCCTAGTTAGGATTACTTGGATCCTGGGGCTTGGTCTTGAGGATGAGGGGGAGGCAGAGAAGGGCAGAGCCTTGTCTTTTATCCCTCCTACATGCCAGTCAGCAGAACTTCCTCCAAAATTCCCACCCTTTCCTCCACAGGAATGGAGAGTTTACTCATGAGTTAGATAAGCAGAGGTCTTAGCAAATCTCTTGCAGGCATCATGGCAGAAGTGGGTCTACAGGAGGGATTTGTATGAGAAAGAAGAGAGTGAGGTTTTGTAAATGCATTCCATATAGACAGAGCAGCATGGAAGAAATATATTTATACATTTCTCATGCTTTTCTTTTCTATTCCCATGGGAAGTCCTACATTTCTAGTAGTAAAATTTTATCTTTGGGAAAAGACATGTATCTAACTTTTTGATCTACTCGGTAATATCTGACCTCAAGAGGTAGTTTATGCTATTAAATATTATTTTCTTAGCAGCATTGCTGTTTTGTGATGTTAAAAAACATTGCAGTGTGGAACAATACATGGAGAACATCTGCAAAAGAAGATGCATTTTAAATGGTTTTGTGAATATATGCCCTGCGGGTCAGACATAACTGTAGAAATCTCTTTGAAAGAAACCTGTGGTGACAGCTGAGGGAGCACACTAATTTAATAACAGTTGATGAATTAAGAAACTGTATTATTTTTTAAAATCACTTAGGAAGTCTCCTCTCAATCCCCTTGGTTCCTTGGTTGATTCTTCTGGACAGCATGTCAAAAAGATTTGGAAACACACAGCCTGTACAAAGCACTGTGTCTGGTTTAGCCTCTTTTTCACTTTCTAACAAGAATTACATCAAAGCTTTGTATTTCTGTTCCAGTATATGCTGTCCATGTAAGATGTAATCCCTTGTGGGGAAAATGTGGACGATGACAGGAGTCTTTGAAAAATTGCTCATTTTAACTGAATATGTAATCTTTTGAAACCTGTAATTTTTCAGCAGATGTCTTATTACAGGAAAAATAATGTTTTAATGATATAAAAGACAAAGATTCCCTAATGATGATGATCCTCTATTTTACATTTAGGTATAATAGACCTCTCTAAAGCCTCTATGATTTTCAGTATAAAAGATAGCTCTGAGGTTGGTAATTTAGTCAGGGTAGAGCAGCATGTTCCAATAAAGATTAAGGTAGATGGTCTTTGCTCTCTTTCTGGTAACTGGGAGGTGGGGGAGTGTTGTTATTTTTATCCCAATGTTTGTAAGAATTGAAAACTCCAGGTACTTTACATTCTTCTCTACTTTTCCAAAAGTTGTGAGTTATAAATCTCTCATAAGGCTTTTCCCTTTCTGGTAAAGGTGATTCCAGGGCCTGGATTACTTGATATGGAAGTAGTATTATCTAGTGGTTAGAGCACAGGACTGGGAACCATCCAGACTCAGCCAAGGAGGTGCATCTAGGCAAAATGGAGGTGATATTAGTGGAAAGGGGAAGGCTCTGGCAAAAGTGATTCCTGCCACATTTTTGAGGGACAGCAGGGGTCATCCACCATTTGTCCATGATTTGGGGTTTCATGATTTGGGGTTGCTTGTGTACCTCCAACTGTTTCTGAAAACTCAGGTGGAGTTAGTGGCCATATTTTTTTCCACTTCATAAAATTAAGCAATTTCATCTTTTTCTATTGGACCTGGATCTCATCAGTGTTGTCTTTGACTTTTTGATTTCTAGAATGGATTATTGCAAGGAACTCTTCACGAGGCGATCAAACGCTAAGGTGAGTAAGGTGGCTGCTATCTCATTGAGGGATGTAAAAAATCTGGAATGTCATTATATATACCTTCTTAAACAGGAGGTGTTCATTACAGAAAACAGGAACAACTAGAGACACAAACAAATGTTTCTATGAAGTTTGAGTTACAACTTTTTCTCCAGTGTTTACCAGAGATGATACCCTGTCTGGACCTCTGTACTGCACACAGAGACATGTAGGGGTTCAATAGTATACTGCATGTAAATATATAGTTAAAAGGAGCATGTCAAACCAATTCTCAGTTGCTTTCAAGCTGTTGATATTGACTTGAGTCATGACTATCTGAGACATGAACTACCTCCTCATCTAATAACTGTATTAATACTTACATAACAACTGCAGCACAGAGCTGACCAAGTTCACACAGCAAAAATCAGTGGCAGAGTTAGTCTCCTGCCCCCCCCCCCCCCCACGCAAACATGCTATTCATTAGACCACAGCTGCTCCTTAGCTATATTCCCACCACTTCTGATGTCAGTTTGGGTGTGCAAGGTGGGGGTGGGATTTTCAAAAGCACTCAGTGTTGCCCTGAATCTCCTTCCATTAATATAAATAGGAATTCTTCCATAGGTTTCAATGGGAAGAAGTGAGGCCAATGCTGTATTTTTGAAAATCTCATCTGAAATATCCAGTATTCAGAAAATTCTAAGATAACTTCCTTTCCCTGTCCCACTTTTCTGCTCACTATCTTTACCTCAGTAGAATCAGGGAGATGAGGGTAGCATGCCCCCAAGGAAGAAAGCACCCTTGTATGGCTTCAGTCTCTTTTCAGATACAAAGGGAAATATGGTGCCCACAGCTATTACTTTAAGGCATTTTCTTTATTTCATATATAAATAGAATCATTTTTATATTCTGGTTTACTCTTCGACACGTGTTCATTAGAATATATTTAGCAACTATGTTATTTTTCATAGTATGAACGAATATAAATAGCATTGCAGTAAAATATTAATAGTGCTACAGTACTACATAACTGTAAATTAAATACTTCAAGTCTCTCAGTGAATGTAGTCTGCGAATAGGAAATAGAATCATAACACATCACTATCCTTTAAGGTACAGAGCTGCCAAATCCTCACCCTTCTGTCCCTACAATAGCTGAAATCCAATCCTCAGAGACAATCCAGTTCCTAAACAGACAACTCCCCTCCAACTATTTTTCACATCTAGATGCCATCTCTTTACTGTCCGTAGTCTCCATCCCTAATCTCCATCTTTGCCCATTTCTCTAATCTGAGTTAATGTCCCTTGAGCCTACCCTGCCATTATTATAATGTGCTATTTACATAGCACCCACAGTGATCTAGGTACTTTGCAAACATGCAAGAGGACAAGGGACATGCCCCAAAGAACTTCCAACCTAAAAAGACAAAATGTAGATGACAGGAATTAAAACATAAAATCAAACATAAAATCAAAGCATAAAAATGTGATTAGGTTCAGTAGTGGCTTGTTAGGTCTATACCTTTGCTCAGTGTTGTTTTTGTTCTTCCTATTTATAATTTTGCATTTAAACAATAGGGAACATAAACCATATTTTTGGGTGATTTAAACTTCTGAAGCTTCTATTTAAAATGCTTTTGGTTTTTATCGTGGTCGCCACCTAATCCCAACTATTATAAGACAACCAAAGGCATGCAGCTGGATTGGTACTGTGGGCTGTTAAAAATTCACAGATGAGTAGGATCACTTATGCCAGGACTGTGAGGATCTGCTGCTACTGTAGTAGCTTCTTCTGATAGCAGCAGACAGTTCCTTCTAACTGTTTCAGGATTGGACTTATAAAGGGACTGCCTCCACTAGCTGGTCTTGTTCATTCTTCTCTCCAAGGCTGGCGGTGGCAGAGGATGTGGGTACCCAGTGCCTGGAGCAGCTTCTAGCAGTGGAGGAGGATCTCCTACTCTTCCGTTTCTTCCTGCTCAATGCCAAGAGCATTGCACAGGAGAAAGAAAAGCAACTATGGCAATTATTATCTGGATGATATTTTTCTTGGGAAAAGAGATAATCAGAGCTGGGTAGGAAGGAAAGCACATTTTCCATTCTTTAAGGGATCTCAACCATAAAAAAGTAGGTTTGGCCTGAATATGTGGAATAGCATGCATGAGGCCAATTCAGATTTCTTTTTTTTTCCTGTAATGGTTTATGAGTCTCTGATGGGGTGTGCAAACCCCTACTGGTCAGAGAGGGATAATGAGCTGCTGTGGGCTCAGTCAGTCCCTCCCTGCTTCCACTGTAAGACCTGTAAATTTGGAGGTAGGTAATTAAAAAGCACACTGCCAGCTCAGTTGGATCCTGAATGGGAATGAGAGCAGATTTGCAGCTCATATATCATGTGAGAAACCCGGGTAGAGCTAGGACTTGATAGGAATCTGGTCAGCCAGGGCCTCCCTGAGAAAAGGTATTCCTGACACAGACTGTTGATTTGTTACCAGGAACCTGTTGGTGGGTGTTAAGGCAAGCTCCTGCATTGGGACCAGTCTGAAAGGAAGGGTCTGGAAACTGAGCCCAATGGGGCTGAAAATCCTTTTGTTTTGTGTTTATGCTGTACTTTGACTTGGGGAATCTGCTATCAGTGAATTGCCCAGAGGAATAAGCACATCTGTAACTGAAGTGTGCTGAAGACCATTGGGGAAACTGAGGCACAACTGCTGCTGTGCTCCACCACACCATTAGGGGGCATGCAAGGATGACCCCTCCTCCACAGTTTCTCATATAGTAACACTGATATTGTGCCCATTATGTTCAAGTTGCACACTGCACAACAGAAATTTGCTGCTAATATATGAAACAATAGGATTTTCAAGTCAAGTGCCCAATTATTCATGGATTCGGAACCACGTTAAATATGAATGTTAAAATGGAAATTTCAAAAATTTGACAGAGAACAGTTTAGTAACATGGATAAAGGTTATCTTTCCATGTACTTGTTTCATGAAAGGGACACTTGTAATTTCTACACAGCTTAGAAATGAGGACAAAGAATTAAAGATGAAAAGACATGAAAACAGCAGTAATATCTGGAAGTTAAAGGATAAATGATATTTCTTATTTTAAGACAAACATTTTTAGACATAAGGCTAAGTTGAAGTTGGTATTTAATATCATTACATATTTCTTTGTTTCCCCTAGCCTAGAGGATGCATAAGTCCATTCTCTGACCCAGGTCTAAAACTTGAATTGTGCAAAATATTTACTAAAAGTTAAATATTTTTTCTTCCATCCACCATTGTAGTTGGAAAGGAGGCTCTACGGCGTTGTTTTCTGTATTAGTATCTGCCTACTGTGTGTGTGCACGCATGTGTGTATGTGTGTCTATCCATTTGTGCATTAATCTTGCTGATGATCCTGGTGTACTCACTGCTCAGTTCTTACTCCCCAGCAGCTATTACACATGTGCACATCAGTCATGCCTCACACAAAATCTGTTGGGGTGTACAAGCTGCCTGTTGTGCCAGCAGTATAAGCTTCTCTTTATAAAACCTCTGTTAAATTTTCTATTATCACATTTCTGTTGGGGGGCAGGGAGGAAAGGATTAGCCGCCACACAAGAATAGAAAGCTAACGAGGACACTTCATAATTGGTTGGGGTGGTTAGAGTTAGGGTTTCAGTATTAAAAATATGCCACCAGTTCCAAATTATAGATCTGATCAACATTAGTAACCTTATTTAATTGAAGTTGATAACCAAATGGACAGCCACCTCCTAGATCCCTTTTTAGGATTTATAAGGATTTTGGCAATTTAGGCAATTATTTAACTATTTAATTCCAATCCAATTATGAGGCTAGCTTGTTTGTTGGTTTGCTTTTGATTTGATAGTTGGAGTATTTTATTCTTAATTATTAACTATAACAATAAGTATTAGTAATAAGTATAAATATTAATAATAGTTTTGCTTTGGTGATATGTTTTCTTGACTTTTTTAATTAACAGTTTTAATAAAATTTATCAAGAGATACTGAATCACATTTCTTTCCATAAGTAACATGGAAAAAAAATCTTCCTCTTGGGGAGGAGGATTACCTTTGGAGTAACTCCTCGCTTAACGTTGTAGTTATGTTCCTGAAAAATGTGACTTTAAGTGAAATGATGTTAAGTGAATCCAATTTCCCCATAGAATTAATGTAAATGGTGGAGGCGGGTGGGGGGGGGGAGGAAATAGGTTTCAGGGAATTTTTTTCACCAGACAAAAAACTATATATTATTTAGATATACACACAGTATATGTTTTAAACAAACAATTTAATACTGTTCACAGCTACAATGATTGTGAAGCTTGGTTGAGGTGGTGAAGTTAGAGGGTGGAAGAGGGAGGGATATTTCCCAGGGAATGCCTTGCTGCTAAATGATGAACTAGCACTGGGCTGAGCCCTCAAGGGTACACACAGAGACAGACACACAACTTGTGTGTGGGAGAGAGAGAGAGATGCACACTGCCCCTTTAAGTAAGCTGACCCACTCTTAAGTGTATTGTCTTTTTAAGTATATCAGGAAGTTGAGACAGCAGCTGCAGCCCCAAGCTCTCTATGTTTCTCTCCATCCGTGTCCCCTCCCTGCTCTATATGGAGAAAGGGTAAGCGGGGCGGAGGAGCAGGGAAGAGGGGGACACCCTGACATTAGCCCCCACCCCACCCCCCTTGCACAGGAAGCAGGAGTCTCTGGGAGCAGCTCCAAGGCAGAAGGCAGGAGCAGCACATGGCAGTGGGGGGACGGACAGCTGAACTGCCCGCAATTGATAGCCTGCTGGGCAGCTGCAGCACAGGGAACTTAGGGGAGCAGGGAGATGATAGGGGGAGATGATAGGGGGGCTGCCAGTCCACCCTGGTTACAAGCCCCCACCAGCTAGCCGCAACAGGCTGCTCTTCCTGCAAGCAGTGAACAAAGAAGGCAGCTGCCAAATGACGATAGAAGGGAGCATTGCACAACTTTAAACGAGCATGTTCCCTAATTGATCAGCAACA